AAATCGCTATTCTAAACTCAGTCTCGATAATAAATTGTTAATTTACAAATCAATATTGAAGCCAATTTGGAACTATCGTATAGAACTGTGGTGTTCAGCGTGTAACACATATATAGAAAAAATCCAAAGAGTACAAAATAATATTCTCCGATATTCTCCGATTCACAAAGATCTAAATCTACTAGCCGTTGAAGAAGTAATTCGCTTATATACAATTGAATGCCTAGAGAAACTCAAGTCAAACATGAGGATCCAAATAATCATGTTTGTCACTTATATTGTATTATAATCATTGATATATATGAATACCCTAGCTCAATTGCATACATATAGGTTTTTTAATTATTTTCAATTTCTATTTATTAAAATTCAATAAATGACAAGGAAAAAATATATATCCCTTTAGTGAAATAAAATGCTTATTTTCAGCTTCATTCTTTGTAATTTTCATTAAACAATATAATTCTCAATATAATTCTCAAAGTAATTCTCAATATAATTCTCAATATAATTCTCAGTAGAATTCTCAATATAATTCTCAATGTAATTCTCAATTAAATTTGCAATATAATTCTCATTATGTTCGCGCGTTCTGAACTATAAATTTATGAGTTAAAAATAGTGACTGTGAAAATGTTAATATAAACGAAATTAATGGACTAAGTTTTTAGTAACGTGATTATTTCGGAAAGTTAAATTTAAATTTTAAATTGTGATTAAAGTAGAAATATTTTGTTCCGAATTAGATACATTATCTAAATAGATTACATTAATATATGTTACGTATTTGTGTATTTCACATTTATTCTTATATCTCCGAACATCATTAATACATATTACTTTTCGGAGGGCAGATATATATAAAATTTACCTGATTTAAATATTAAATCTGGAGTAAAAGCTAGCATTCGTACTTTTTATATTATAGGTATTATTGAAAAGTTAAGTTCTAAAAAAAGCTCAGTATAAAAACTTCTAATGAAATTAATTGTCTTTTATAGATAGGTAAGGTAAAAATAAATACTATTTTACTTACTAGTTTTGCAACCAGAAAGCATGTGAGGACATTAGACACTTTCTGGCCAATTGCCCTATTTCACGATAATTAAGAAAGCGATGTCAGGGAAAGATCATTCTTTCTACAGAAAATTACGAAATTGTTCTAAATAAAAGAAACTAGGTCGGATGCAATCGGCTAACGTCATGCCAATATGCCGTAAAATATATAGAATACAATAATTTTATAAATTAGTGTCACGTATTGATTATAAGAATTATGTTATAAATTATAATTATTACATAGTATTAAGCCCCCTGGAACGAATACTGGTACTTTCGGTTTGAACTATTAAATATACCTACTCGCAGGTAAACTGAAATATAAACTGTTAAATATTTTGATGGTGGATATTTGATGATGGATATTTTTAAGTATACGAGTATTAGTCCACATAGGCGTATGGTCACAGTCCAAACAATCTTCTTTCAGGGAAATGATTTAAAGTTATCCATATTTGAGGTCTTTATATTGTAGTAGATCTTTGTTTTGTAAAACCATGATTATTAAACAGAACTAACAAATACACTATATTTGTACATTTGTAAATATAATATATTATATTTAAGCATATATAATAAACATGACTAGTTTTGGTTAAGAGAAACATACTAGTGTCTAAACGTGCGTCCGGTGTTTAAAACTATTTAGATATATATTTCTACGGGTAGCTGCTGAAGGTATTTAACAGTGTTCAGAGTAGTTGTCTTAACCTTATACTAACATCCATTAAAAAATAAATTAAGAATTGTGATCAAACTCAATATAAAAAAAAAGGTCCACTAATGTTTGGATAAGGTAAAAAAAATTTATTTTATGTGAGGCCTTACGTCAATTTTTCGGGCGAAATGGATGTTAGTGTTGGGCTTCACAAAAAAGCTAAAAGTAGTTCTTTAAGTGTAGCTAATGTTATTTAAAAGATTAATTTATTAAATGATTAGGTTTTGGTAAACTTTTAAGAACAGAGTACAACATATATGGGTATTATATAACAATCATTTATGTCTGTATAAAGTCCAATGTTAAATTAATATCATTATAATCAATATTAACACGATATTAACAACGATATTATCAATATTAACAATCAAAATACAGTGGTAAATCAGTGAAAATGGCTTTATTGGTTTTCGAAGTATTGTCCATAATATTCAATAAATCTTTGCATTCGATTGATCAACCGTTTCGCCACTCTGAAGTTGATATCTTCATAATCAGGGTTTTGAATGTCTCAACAACTTGATCGGGCGTAGAAAAAACACTCGCCACGCAATTTTCTCTTAATATTTGGGAATAAGAACAAGGTATTAAGTACCAAAATGGGATTGTGAAGCGGATGACCCATGAACTAGACGTTTAAAATGCTCAAAAACTCTTTTGTTTAAATTGCTGTCTAGAAGCTCGCATTTCTCTGGTGGCGACCGATATTCCTTCTACGGTTAGTTTTCTCAATTCTTCCAACACTTCCAGTAAACAAATGGTTGTGTACCACTCAGAATTGACCGTTTTATGTTGTTCAAGTCACATAGTTGTGACATGACCGGTTTTTCTGAAAAACATTGCTTAATTTCTGACTTATGTCGGCTATGAGACATCTTTTAAAATTCTTACAATGGTAATACCTAATTTATCTAATTTTTATCTAATTTACCCTACTTGAAATTCTGGTAAATACCAACATTCGCTGCCATACCGACATAATTTAGTATTTCCCTTAATTTACCATCAATTTACTCGAACTCGCACACAAATAAACTGCTTCAACAAAGGCAATGAAAATATAATATATCACTGCCAACAATATTTGAAGAAAAAATAACGACGTACTCGTACTTCTTCGTTAAAAAAACATAAAGTTCTTAATAGTGAGTCGTGCAATAGAATAGTTTAGATATGTAGTACTACTAAATTGTGGATTGCTGATTTCTCAAAGCTGATTGGGCGATTACAGGGTATGAATTATATTTAGTTGGTCACAAAAAAAAAAAAATATTTAAATAATTTGATTTTATATTAAAACTTGAAATAATTTATTCTTCGGATACAGAAAAAGCTTAAACTCCTGGTCCCAATTAATTGCTTGAAAAGTAAATTGTAATTATGTGGATCGTACATCGTAACAAAGTGGGTTTCCACCAATTATTTGTGTGTATTTATCATTCTTCATATATCATTTTGCGTTCATTCGTTTATTAAAGAATTGCACTCTTTATATTATGAAATTTTAAATAAAATTTATGAAACATTTATGTTAAGTATAATGTCACAGCATCTGTCCTAGGCAAGTCATCACTCAAATTTCTCAAAAAAGCGTTTCTTCAAATCGGGTGGGTAAGTAACATAAATATAGTGCTCGTTCTGACCTACTTCGTTTTCGATGATGTCGTGAGCGGATGATGAGGCATGTAGAGATGGCTGAGATGCGCCCACATAGCTATGATGCATATCCAATGAATGCTGAAGAGAATTGATTGGCTTTGCGGCTGCGTCACTCAATGAATTAACCTTGTAATCGATTGTATTAGCTAGTGATGCTGTGCTAGTTGCTGCTATTGCTGTATTGGAATTGCTATTGCTGTTAAGTAAAGTTGTTAAAGGTTTATTTTTGGAGTCACGTGACTCTAAATACTTTTCCTGATATGGCAGATTATTTTGACCTTGACGGCGTAATGGTGTCGATGTACGCTGACCGTTCCTGTGAGTTGTGCTGCTGCTGGTATCGATTTGAATTTGATCCCCATAATAATGTCTTAAACTGTAGGGATGTTCTGCTTGGGATTGTTCAGGATATAAGTCGTGCATATGTTGATGTGAAAATAACTGACCACCTGGACTATCCGGAGAATATTTAAGACACTGATTGTGTTGACTAATGTGGTGATTTGAATTAATTGCTGTCTCGTCAGAACTAAAATTGAAAACTTTAAATTTATTAGAATGTTCCCTTAAAATTTGAAAGTATAATATATAAATATTAACTATATTCTTAGGAAGTGGGTCGGGTCTACTTATTTTGACATTGGGAATATCTTGACATTATCGTGACATTAACCATAAACGATTTATTTTTATTTTATTTTTTTTTTGAAGAGACTCTCTACTGTTCGAGAGTAGAATAGTAATAACAAAATTTTTATTTTTTTTTAATTGATCTAATTTTTTTTTAATGATCTAATCAGAAATAATCAAGGTAACAATAAAAACAAAATATAAATAGTAATTGCAGTGAAAAAGTGTATACAGAGACTCATTTAAGGGGGCTTTTTGGAAAAATATTGTAAAATTTAAATAAAAAAAATGAATTGAGAAAATCAATTATCATTGAACCCCAAAATCCTATCGGGTATACGCTAACTGGAGTTATTATTATTAGTATATTACATTATTTAATAAGATTTAAATTTAATTTAAGTTTTTTCACATTGAAATATAAAAATAGGATCTTTAAAACAAGTTGTTCATACAACTTGATTGATATCTTTTTCCTTTTCTTATTAGAACTTCAAAATATTTTACATGCTTATATTAATAACTGTACTTTATAATATGTATACGTATATAATACACATATATATTATAATTAGTAAATAAAGCTAAGAATATATTAATGCAATTAAGGGAAATAATGCCAAAAATTCATAGATATGGGGATTAGGGTAGTGGGTATTTGCTGATAAGTTCACTTTATTTATATATTTAATTTTAAGTTTTACTCACTCAAATAGTATCCAAATAATGTAATAACAGAAACAGATTCCTGTGGACAGCACGAATATAAGAATTACTATTAGACCCCATGGAAATGCTCTCGGCTCCAATGGACCATCCTCCCAGTAACGATCACAAGATAGATACCAGCAAACTGCTTTATTCATTTCATCTTAAATAAATAAATATAATTAAATTAAATGTGATTTATGTAAAATAAATTTAAAAATGAAAACAGACTGAAGATCTTGAATTAATCTTAATCTTGTGGTTAATACTGTGTTTCGCATGTAAAAAAAAAATATATTAATTTGAACTTTCAAATATTTAATTAAGCATCTTTCAATACGTGTTCAATAATTGCAAGTTAAATTTATATTTTTTTATTTTACTAGGAATAGATATTTCTCTCTAAGTAGTCAAAATTTCGGACACACTTAAAGTAAGACGTGAAAAATTATTAATGCAGTTAAGCACTCAGTCAAGCGAGGGGTTTGAAGTACTGAAACCCTCTCTGAATTCGAAAGTCACCGTGTGAGACTTGAACCCACTAAACCACCTCTTAGGAATGAATGGAGAAAATTCCTACAGCATTGTGAAAACTTCATTTCAGTAATCAAGGGAGAGAGGAGAAAAAATAGACTTAGTCCCCCTCTCTCTGAATTTACCCGACAAGTTATATTTATAGTGTATATATTATACACATATTCACCGATAATAAAATACTGATGTCTGTGATATAAATTGATTATAAATTACGATGTGGAAGAGTTAAGTATCTACTTTATTTTGAAATTGTTACAGTACAGCTATGGAACTTATTTTCCGATAATGAAATAATTCTAAACGATTTTAAATATTCTATTAAACACAACAACTTATGTTGTTGATAGATCATTTCCTGTTATGAAAAAGTATGTAGTTCGTTTCAGGGATTATAGTTAGCCATGATTAACTCAGTGTATTCACTATAACAATAGAATGTTGCATTTGACCGAGATGAAGAGGTCGAGTTTTCATCGAAATAAAATTTACAAGATTTTACTTCTCGTCTTTAATATCGATTTTATTTAAAGGAAACTTCTTAAATTTGTTAAATGCCAATCGGTTTGAAAAAAATCTACGGCAATTCATTTATTACTATCAAATCTCTTAATAAACTGTCGAAGAAGTGAAAAGTCGATAAACTTGGCATCAGCGATACAAAATAGTATAATTAATCAGCTATACGGTAAGAAAGTCCCTAAGGTGAGCTTAATTTTGAAAAAGCTCATTCCCGCTAATACAATTGATTGAAAAATCGTGGTTACACTCAAAGTTGTATATCACTATATATGGTAATTATTAACTTACCAAAAAGTTTTAAATATACAGTCAATATATATTTATTTATTTTTATTTATTAAAATAAAATGAAGAGTTTTCGAACAGTAGTGAATTATAACAACAGAATTTTTATTTATTTTTAAATAATTGAATTTTTGACTGTTTCGAGTTTTGCTAAATACCCATCACCAGTGGCCTTGGAATTATTTCGCATATTTGATTATTCGTAAATAATTGCATCCTTGTCCTTGCCAATACATAGGCTTGAACTCGTACCCCACCAAATTTGAACCTCAGAGTCAGTGTTCATAAGTCATTTAATAAAACTTAATTTAAAATAAAATATAAATATATATATCTTTTAATATGAATAATAAGAAGACGGTCACTGTTTTACCTATCATCTAAAGGATATAATAATTTAAGCAATTTATATTAACAAAAAAATATAGTAATTATTTACCTTCCATCTCTTTGAATGCCACATTTGACATTGTAATCAGTAATCCTGTGATGCAGGTTCGAACCAATTGTTCGCACTTTAGCTTCAATTTACTTAGTTCTTCCGCCTTACAGCTAGCGCGGATATTGTGCATATTTGTGGCATTGCCAGCTTTTATTTTGACATCCGATCCTTTCGTAAAATTGCAATTATCTGAAAGGATTTTGATATTAAGGTAACCGTGTAGTTATTACTCTTATTTTATTTTTATTACTAATGTTACCCGTATTCTTAATATTATTTTGGCTGTTTTTCTCTTGACACATATATTGACTTTGTACTTTAGCTGATTGTGACGCAGATGATGTTCTATAAGTAATTAAATTTTTTTAAAAAATAAGTATTATTAGAATAAGTGTGCTCTCATTTACTTATTAATTATTTCTTTTATTTAAATTTTATATTTATATTATTAAAAATACAGAAGTGACAGTAGTCTTCCACAATCTAAAAGATATATTACACTGTACTATTGCGAACTAACCAACCAACAGTTCTATTCACAGTCTTAGAACTACGACAATACCACACCGGCTATATAAAATGAATCGTCGGCCGTGAATATATTTCATTGTTAATAACAACATTTAGAGAATATTTTATTACGAGTAGTATATATCAGCGACATATATGGAAGAATCTTTAGTACTCGAAATTGAAAAATTCATTAGACATCACAATCAGACACGGCATTCTATGACTGTCCAATGTATTAAATATTTATTTTAACATGCTTCAACAATAGCAGTTGGCTATTGTTTTAATTTCAAATTTATGAAAAAAAAATGAAATCATATGTCTAAAATTTTATTCATTTCATTATTTTTTGTATTTGACTTTAATATATAACCGTAAACAATGTTGTAAATCGTATGAAAGTATCAAGCTGACCAAAGCAGGAACTCTGCTCTCTGACATTCACTTCTCGTTCACTTCTATTGAAATCCCACTTTTAACAGTTAAACTGACAAACAAAAAAAAATACTGAGCTTAGTCAAGCAAAACTGGACCTGGTGGATCTGGTCTAAACTGGACAGAAAACTGATTGGTACAATCAGCTACTTCAATTAAAGCGAAACCTGCTCAGCACTACTGAGCTGATGGTGCTGATGAGTCACTGCATAATAGGAAGGCATGTTATGAAACTGGGTATATTCTATAATGTCTTTTATCGTGGTTGTGGGGCTACGGATGTGATCCATCTTTAGCTTGGAGAAAATCTAAAATATTCGGGCTGTACTCTAATCTATGTATAAACAAACACCAATCCTGTTGTACTACAACAAGCTATTATTTGAGCTCATGTGGAGTTGGGGAGTAACATAATAGGTAAAGGCTAAAGTTCAAGATCTGAGATATATGATTCCTAATATAATAATTAAAACTTTCATTAACATTTTAATTTTAGAAGAACGAGGGAGTCTCTATTGAGTGAGTCCCTAATGAAGGGCTATGCTGCTCATTCTGTGGCATACGTCACAAAGAACAAATTTTGCAGATTAAATTTGATCTTAGAAATAAATTGTTGGTCAATCTCTAAGACCTTAGGTATGTAATTCCTGATATAATAATTAAAATTTTCATAAACTTTTTAATTTTAGAATGACGACGAAATCCCTGTTGAGTGATTTCCTGTTGAAGAGCTCGTCTTCCCAAAGGATATTAATTTTGAAATTGATGATTCAGCAAAGCTCTTGGCAGTTTCTTTTAAGAAATTTGATGGGATGATAGATGCTCAGTTTAATCAAATAGAAAAATAGTTCTAACCATGTTTGCAATTTTAGAAGATTCCACTAAAGTTGACAACAATGTAGGTGTTGTAAACGATAGCAAAGCGACGACAAGAAGACAAGAACTGATAAGAGCTGATCTCGTTTAAATTCTTTTGCTTCAATTATAAGACCTTTGAAGAGACAATAAAATATAACCACAAATTGCATCTTCTCTGCAGAATTTTTTTTGTTTTTTTGACAAACTTGTGATTTGATTTTGCAATATTCATGTTAATTAGTTTTAAATTTTTGGTGATGTTTTGAAAATGAATGGAGGCTAAAGTGATTAGCGTTACTTTTTGAATCTTTTAAACAAAGCAACTTAATGATACCAATTAGGTCTCAATCTCAAATGGTTCTCAAACGGGATTTATCAACAGAACTGTGCTATTGACTTTAGCTATTAAGGTCACAATACTTTGGAAAAAACAGCTGTGGTGCAAAAATAAAGTATTGATATTGATAAGAAATATATAGTGGTTGTATACCAGATATATCTCTTGTTTGTAGTATTTATATAAAAAATTTTCTTGGAATTAATTTTTTACTTTCTGGCACTGAATAGAGGTCAGTGAATAGAGGTTATGAGGACTGATAGAGGTCCTCTATCCTCATAATATGAGTATTGATATAGTATCGACCAAAGGATTGTAGACGTAGATGTTATGTTCGATACATTTTTTTGGGATTGATTAGAGTGTGAATATCTGGTCAATAGTAGAGTGACCATACTGAATGCCGCACTGATGTAGCCTAATCAGTGAATTGTCATGTGGCTTTAATCTTTGACACAGTATATACTTAAAAGCTTTCACGCGGTAGAAACAATCCCGTGGTAGTTGGTCCAAATCGTCGGGTCGTTAGTTTTAATAAATTTGCATATTTGACTCGCATAAGTAAAACATATATGGTTATTATATATCGTAGATATATGTGTGTATAAAATTGTGAATGTTAAAATCACATATTCTCTTGTCGGACACAGTGATCGTCCTCATTCTCACTATTTTCAACAGCATTTTGTCTCTTGGGTACTTTTCGATGCATTGAAAAACATCGTTGTTAAAAATGATCCCGAAGCCTTAAAAATATCCTTCAGTTGTTACATCATATTGATCAATAGGTTCATTGTCGTAAATCTCAAAAATTTTCGAAAAACTTCTAGTAAAAAAAAAAATCCTGATTTCCTCACCGATAGAAAATTTAATTCTTAATTCGTACCATCAATTTGGTTTTCGTAAAGGGCATGGAACAATTGAACTGATCCTTAGAATCGCTAATGAAACACACCTAGCTTTACAATCAAAGCAATATTGTACGGCAGTTTTTCTTGATGCAGCGCAGGCACTTGATAAAGTGTGGCTTAACAGATTTTTACTTAAAATAATGCACTCGATACGAAAAACGTTCATAAACTTCTGAAATCCTACGTGACTCGCGAAAAATATAGAGTTAGACACAAATCTTTTATTTCGCAAGAGCACGATATCAACACTGGAGTTCCTCAGGGTAGTGTCCCTGGGCCGCTTCTATACTTAATCTACACAGCTGGCATTCTTCTATATCCTAACAATTTGTTGACGACGTTCGCTGACAACACTGCTATAGTCAGCATCGAAAGTGACTGCACTATAGCATCATAAAATTTATACAGACATCTTGGTTTAATTGAAAAGTGCTTTGCTAAATGGAAAATCAAGGTGAATGAAATTAAATACGTTCAGGTACACTTTTACTCTAAGGAGAGAAACATGGCCATGGCTTGCAATTAAAACCAATAATATGGACACAGTTCAAACACATTCTGTAAAATATCTGGGAATTCATTTAGATAGAAGATTCACGTGGACAAGTCATATTGAAGCCAATAGATGCCAATTAAATCTTAAAGGAATTATACTGACTTCTAAATCGCTATTCTAAACTCAGTCTCGATAATAAATTGTTAATTTACAAATCAATATTGAAGCCAATTTGGAACTATCGTATAGAACTGTGGTGTTCAGCGTGTAACACATATATAGAAAAAATCCAAAGAGTACAAAATAATATTCTCCGATATTCTCCGATTCACAAAGATCTAAATCTACTAGCCGTTGAAGAAGTAATTCGCTTATATACAATTGAATGCCTAGAGAAACTCAAGTCAAACATGAGGATCCAAATAATCATGTTTGTCACTTATATTGTATTATAATCATTGATATATATGAATACCCTAGCTCAATTGCATACATATAGGTTTTTTAATTATTTTCAATTTCTATTTATTAAAATTCAATAAATGACAAGGAAAAAATATATATCCCTTTAGTGAAATAAAATGCTTATTTTCAGCTTCATTCTTTGTAATTTTCATTAAACAATATAATTCTCAATATAATTCTCAAAGTAATTCTCAATATAATTCTCAATATAATTCTCAGTAGAATTCTCAATATAATTCTCAATGTAATTCTCAATTAAATTTGCAATATAATTCTCATTATGTTCGCGCGTTCTGAACTATAAATTTATGAGTTAAAAATAGTGACTGTGAAAATGTTAATATAAACGAAATTAATGGACTAAGTTTTTAGTAACGTGATTATTTCGGAAAGTTAAATTTAAATTTTAAATTGTGATTAAAGTAGAAATATTTTGTTCCGAATTAGATACATTATCTAAATAGATTACATTAATATATGTTACGTATTTGTGTATTTCACATTTATTCTTATATCTCCGAACATCATTAATACATATTACTTTTCGGAGGGCAGATATATATAAAATTTACCTGATTTAAATATTAAATCTGGAGTAAAAGCTAGCATTCGTACTTTTTATATTATAGGTATTATTGAAAAGTTAAGTTCTAAAAAAAGCTCAGTATAAAAACTTCTAATGAAATTAATTGTCTTTTATAGATAGGTAAGGTAAAAATAAATACTATTTTACTTACTAGTTTTGCAACCAGAAAGCATGTGAGGACATTAGACACTTTCTGGCCAATTGCCCTATTTCACGATAATTAAGAAAGCAATGTCAGGGAAAGATCATTCTTTCTACAGAAAATTACGAAATTGTTCTAAATAAAAGAAACTAGGTCGGATGCAATCGGCTAACGTCATGCCAATATGCCGTAAAATATATAGAATACAATAATTTTATAAATTAGTGTCACGTATTGATTATAAGAATTATGTTATAAATTATAATTATTACATAGTATTAAGCCCCCTGGAACGAATACTGGTACTTTCGGTTTGAACTATTAAATATACCTACTCGCAGGTAAACTGAAATATAAACTGTTAAATATTTTGATGGTGGATATTTGATGATGGATATTTTTAAGTATACGAGTATTAGTCCACATAGGCGTATGGTCACAGTCCAAACAATCTTCTTTCAGGGAAATGATTTAAAGTTATCCATATTTGAGGTCTTTATATTGTAGTAGATCTTTGTTTTGTAAAACCATGATTATTAAACAGAACTAACAAATACACTATATTTGTACATTTGTAAATATAATATATTATATTTAAGCATATATAATAAACATGACTAGTTTTGGTTAAGAGAAACATACTAGTGTCTAAACGTGCGTCCGGTGTTTAAAACTATTTAGATATATATTTCTACGGGTAGCTGCTGAAGGTATTTAACAGTGTTCAGAGTAGTTGTCTTAACCTTATACTAACATCCATTAAAAAATAAATTAAGAATTGTGATCAAACTCAATATAAAAAAAAAGGTCCACTAATGTTTGGATAAGGTAAAAAAAATTTATTTTATGTGAGGCCTTACGTCAATTTTTCGGGCGAAATGGATGTTAGTGTTGGGCTTCACAAAAAAGCTAAAAGTAGTTCTTTAAGTGTAGCTAATGTTATTTAAAAGATTAATTTATTAAATGATTAGGTTTTGGTAAACTTTTAAGAACAGAGTACAACATATATGGGTATTATATAACAATCATTTATGTCTGTATAAAGTCCAATGTTAAATTAATATCATTATAATCAATATTAACACGATATTAACAACGATATTATCAATATTAACAATCAAAATACAGTGGTAAATCAGTGAAAATGGCTTTATTGGTTTTCGAAGTATTGTCCATAATATTCAATAAATCTTTGCATTCGATTGAATCAACCGTTTCGCCACTCTGAAGTTGATATCTTCATAATCAGGGTTTTGAATGTCTCAACAACTTGATCGGGCGTAGAAAAAACACTCGCCACGCAATTTTCTCTTAATATTTGGGAATAAGAACAAGGTATTAAGTACCAAAATGGGATTGTGAAGCGGATGACCCATGAACTAGACGTTTAAAATGCTCAAAAACTCTTTTGTTTAAATTGCTGTCTAGAAGCTCGCATTTCTCTGGTGGCGACCGATATTCCTTCTACGGTTAGTTTTCTCAATTCTTCCAACACTTCCAGTAAACAAATGGTTGTGTACCACTCAGAATTGACCGTTTTATGTTGTTCAAGTCACATAGTTGTGACATGACCGGTTTTTCTGAAAAACATTGCTTAATTTCTGACTTATGTCGGCTATGAGACATCTTTTAAAATTCTTACAATGGTAATACCTAATTTATCTAATTTTTATCTAATTTACCCTACTTGAAATTCTGGTAAATACCAACATTCGCTGCCATACCGACATAATTTAGTATTTCCCTTAATTTACCATCAATTTACTCGAACTCGCACACAAATAAACTGCTTCAACAAAGGCAATGAAAATATAATATATCACTGCCAACAATATTTGAAGAAAAAATAACGACGTACTCGTACTTCTTCGTTAAAAAAACATAAAGTTCTTAATAGTGAGTCGTGCAATAGAATAGTTTAGATATGTAGTACTACTAAATTGTGGATTGCTGATTTCTCAAAGCTGATTGGGCGATTACAGGGTATGAATTATATTTAGTTGGTCACAAAAAAAAAAAAATATTTAAATAATTTGATTTTATATTAAAACTTGAAATAATTTATTCTTCGGATACAGAAAAAGCTTAAACTCCTGGTCCCAATTAATTGCTTGAAAAGTAAATTGTAATTATGTGGATCGTACATCGTAACAAAGTGGGTTTCCACCAATTATTTGTGTGTATTTATCATTCTTCATATATCATTTTGCGTTCATTCGTTTATTAAAGAATTGCACTCTTTATATTATGAAATTTTAAATAAAATTTATGAAACATTTATGTTAAGTATAATGTCACAGCATCTGTCCTAGGCAAGTCATCACTCAAATTTCTCAAAAAAGCGTTTCTTCAAATCGGGTGGGTAAGTAACATAAATATAGTGCTCGTTCTGACCTACTTCGTTTTCGATGATGTCGTGAGCGGATGATGAGGCATGTAGAGATGGCTGAGATGCGCCCACATAGCTATGATGCATATCCAATGAATGCTGAAGAGAATTGATTGGCTTTGCGGCTGCGTCACTCAATGAATTAACCTTGTAATCGATTGTATTAGCTAGTGATGCTGTGCTAGTTGCTGCTATTGCTGTATTGGAATTGCTATTGCTGTTAAGTAAAGTTGTTAAAGGTTTATTTTTGGAGTCACGTGACTCTAAATACTTTTCCTGATATGGCAGATTATTTTGACCTTGACGGCGTAATGGTGTCGATGTACGCTGACCGTTCCTGTGAGTTGTGCTGCTGCTGGTATCGATTTGAATTTGATCCCCATAATAATGTCTTAAACTGTAGGGATGTTCTGCTTGGGATTGTTCAGGATATAAGTCGTGCATATGTTGATGTGAAAATAACTGACCACCTGGACTATCCGGAGAATATTTAAGACACTGATTGTGTTGACTAATGTGGTGATTTGAATTAATTGCTGTCTCGTCAGAACTAAAATTGAAAACTTTAAATTTATTAGAATGTTCCCTTAAAATTTGAAAGTATAATATATAAATATTAACTATATTCTTAGGAAGTGGGTCGGGTCTACTTATTTTGACATTGGGAATATCTTGACATTATCGTGACATTAACCATAAACGATTTATTTTTATTTTATTTTTTTTTTTGAAGAGACTCTCTACTGTTCGAGAGTAGAATAGTAATAACAAAATTTTTATTTTTTTTTAATTGATCTAATTTTTTTTAATGATCTAATCAGAAATAATCAAGGTAACAATAAAAACAAAATATAAATAGTAATTGCAGTGAAGAAGTGTATACAGAGACTTATTTAAGGGGGCTTTTTGGAAAAATATTGTAAAATTTAAATAAAAAAAATGAATTGAGAAAATCAATTATCATTGAACCCCAAAATCCTATCGGGTATACGCTAACTGGAGTTATTATTATTAGTATATTACATTATTTAATAAGATTTAAATTTAATTTAAGTTTTTTCACATTGAAATATAAAAATAGGATCTTTAAAACAAGTTGTTCATACAACTTGATTGATATCTTTTTCCTTTTCTTATTAGAACTTCAAAATATTTTACATGCTTATATTAATAACTGTACTTTATAATATGTATACGTATATAATACACATATATATTATAATTAGTAAATAAAGCTAAGAATATATTAATGCAATTAAGGGAAATAATGCCAAAAATTCATAGATATGGGGATTAGGGTAGTGGGTATTTGCTGATAAGTTCACTTTATTTATATATTTAATTTTAAGTTTTACTCACTCAAATAGTATCCAAATAATGTAATAACAGAAACAGATTCCTGTGGACAGCACGAATATAAGAATTACTATTAGACCCCATGGAAATGCTCTCGGCTCCAATGGACCATCCTCCCAGTAACGATCACAAGATAGATACCAGCAAACTGCTTTATTCATTTCATCTTAAATAAATAAATATAATTAAATTAAATGTGATTTATGTAAAATAAATTTAAAAATGAAAACAGACTGAAGATCTTGAATTAATCTTAATCTTGTGGTTAATACTGTGTTTCGCATGTAAAAAAAAAATATATTAATTTGAACTTTCAAATATTTAATTAAGCATCTTTCAATACGTGTTCAATAATTGCAAGTTAAATTTATATTTTTTTATTTTACTAGGAATAGATATTTCTCTCTAAGTAGTCAAAATTTCGGACACACTTAAAGTAAGACGTGAAAAATTATTAATGCAGTTAAGCACTCAGTCAAGCGAGGGGTTTGAAGTACTGAAACCCTCTCTGAATTCGAAAGTCACCGTGTGAGACTTGAACCCACTAAACCACCTCTTAGGAATGAATGGAGAAAATTCCTACAGCATTGTGAAAACTTCATTTCAGTAATCAAGGGAGAGAGGAGAAAAAATAGACTTAGTCCC